TATTCAAGCATCGTATGCTGATATGTACTAATTTACATTACAATTTGACTTCTTCGATCGTTTCTTCTCTATCTATGTTTCCAATTTTTGCAATACTCTAGATGCTCTAATCCTAATGGTGTCAAAAATGGTTATAATGATTGAAAACGACTTAGAAATGTATGTAAGATTGCGAAAGAAAACATTTGTAAAGCTTACAAAAGTAATAAGACTTTTCAGAAAAGGCAAGATGGCGATTTGTGGTGGCCCTGGTCTTGAAAACGTTACCTTTTAGTAATCGGTCCAAGATAATCACCTTGATTCCAACTCTAGCTAGGCCGGCTAAGCTCGCCTTGCAGCACCACGAGCAGCAAGCGAGCGTTGAACTGGATGTGTGCTTTGTAGCCATGTGCGCTTTCAAACAAGGAACTTGATTCGTGCAACCTTAGTGGAACGAATGAATGCATTGCGAATCGTCCGGCAAGGAATCGAGAAAACACTTGCACTTGCATCGATGATGAGCGCTCAAAGAAGCTTCACTTAGCGAACGAAAAAAACGAAGGCAAAAACACATTGGCCTAACATAAATTTCTATAAAAAATGTAATCGTTGGAAAATTTATAGCAAAGGTAAAATCTTACTCTTTACAGTTTCTTAGGTTGGCGCCAGACTTATCCGGTTCACTGTTACATTCGGCGCGCGCGACGCACCCACTCCCCGTGTGACGTTTTGTACCGTCAAGTGAAGCTTTTTTTTTTGTTTTTCGTTGTGGCCTAGGTGGTGTCAGCTTTATATGCCAAAAATTAAAATCGAATTTTAAAGAGTCGATTTGAAACTGAATTCATAAAATGCAAGGATCCAGCACCCACTCGAAACGCCATCGAAGATTAACTCTTCATAGAAGCAGAAAACTTTCATCCGACTACCCAAATGTCAAGAAATGATAAGCTAGATCCACAAGCGATGGAGCAGCCTGATCACAGCGACGTACCTCACGCGGGTATACTGCGTTTATAGAGTGTGTGAATTGCAGGCGCGCAGGCGCACTGTTAGAACATAAAGAACGCGAGACGTACGCTAAATCAAGACCACACCCACGAATAGGTGCAGGCCGCACTGGTGGCCATTGGCAAGCAAGCACCACACGCATTGAATGTCAGAGCAATCGGTTTGTTCAATTCACCCATGGCCATTGGCCAATTCGATGATTTGAAGGCTAGGGGACCATAATAAGCCCTTGATCTGTCAGTCTGTAAGTTGGAGCGTTGCGAAATTACAGTGAGGAATGATTCACATTGCTTCAATGCATGTGAGCGCTGCATAACGAGTAAGGTTCATATATGTGATCACTTAGCGGTCTTTCGCTTGAAGAATGATAGGAAGGCCATTACATAAGTTTGTTCAATAGCTTTTATGTGACCAGTGCAAACTTCTGCAAAGCAGAGGTGAAGCACTAGTTAGCAATAAGGGAGCGCGGATGAAGCGAGCGGATAAGTCTAGCACCTGCCTCAAGTATCAAAGCATCGTTTGCAAAAAAAGGTAGAATCTGTGCTCCCATTTTCTAAGCTGCAATAACTCTTTGATTCAACTGGGCTGGCGGCTGGATGGCGGGGCTTTGTGACCTAATTAGAGATTAATTGATCTAATTAATTAATTAATTACCTAATTAATTCTTTATCAAAGATCACTTTCGCAAGAGAAAAGCAGACTGCATCGCGCGCGCGAGCAGTCGCTTCCAGCCGCCAACCTCGTTGAATCAAAGGGTAGGGTCTTTGTCATTCCGTCCTTCATCACCGTGGACCTTTGAAGTTGAGAAAAGATTGTACGACAGCCCAATTAAAATGAAGCGGCATTAGACCGGACGCCTAACAGTCAGTAGTGGCTTTGGAGGGTAGTGGTTCTAAGCTCAATTCACAGTGAACTGAGGTGGACATCTTAGTTCATCGAAGCTGAGGGAAGATTTGCTACGTGTCGCTTTTTCAAGCCTGAAAGGACTGTAATTTCACGAGCACGAGAACGCCTGACTTTTTTCTGAAATCGACAATGAAAAAATTTGCGACCTATGTACCTTCCATTGCAAATTCGTTAGCAGTAGCTGAACACATGCGGGGTTCTCAACGTTTAATCTTGGGCTCTGAATGACCCTCACTACCCAAAAGAACAGTGCGGCTTGGCGAAGCACGGCGAAGCGGCCGAGCTGTTTGTTTGAGGACAGGAAAAAGGTGAGTTTTGTAGTGAAGAAACTAGGTAAATATTCGCACGGAGAACTGGGCTTTCAACTTGATTTAGCAGGACTTTAACACAGCGACAACTTTTGGTAGTGCATTTTTCCTCACTTGATTGGGGATTTTTTTTTACCTAAAATGCTAACTGTGCTATTGTAACGAGCTCCTGCAATAGGACAATAAAATGAGAATGGATTCGCAAGTCAGATGATCTGCACATTATGAAAAGCAGCAGTTGTTCGTGTTATGGTTGTGTACTGAAGCAGATGGCCGGAAGTTATCTGCTTCAGTACACAACCATTAGTCTCTCGAGGTTGTCGAACTTGCAATATCACGACTAATGATGCCACCTAAGTGTGTAGCTCATATGCTAGTGGAGTTATGCAACCCAAAATTTTATTTATGAATGATTCTAAAGCATATATTAGGTCGTTCCGAAAGTTCTTTCCGTTATATATAGTATTATGTGTGGAGTATACGTGTGCAAAGTTTGGTCCAAATTAGTTCAGAAATAAAAATTTTCTATTTCGCACATGTGTACACACATACAGAAGACATACAGACAGGCAAACGAACAGACATTCAGCTTTATATATAAGACCAGTGCGTCACCTCCGAATTATATAAGATATTATGCTCTTTTTCACTTAGTGCACTTGCACTTTCCACTCGCTGCGCGTAGAAAATAGCCAAGGAGCACACCTTCGCGCTCTTGATAATTGACAAAAAGCTCAATAACTCTCTACTCAACTCGTAAAGTTCATGATTGAAAGTTACTGAAAGAAAAGCAAAAATAATCCCGTATATGGGTGCTTTGACTTGACGAACTTTGTTCATTCAACATCAGTTTGATACGAGGCATAAATTTGCTAAATTATTCACTTGTTGCAATGTCATAATTTTAGTCTCAATCCATGAACTATAGAACAGCAGGCATAGATAGGCACCAAACTAAGCCGTTCCGCTGCTTCAGTAGGATGCGGCACCGTCACTGCCATTTGGTGTTACGCTGAAAAAAAATCAAATCGGCGTTCGCGATTAGCCACAACAAAATTTTCGTTGGTAATACCTTTTTACTATTTCCCTTAGTCTGTGAGGCCTTTTTATCGTCTCCTCAACACTACCGTCGTTGGAAACATCGCAGACGCCACTTCGATTCCTATGCAAGGTAAAGCAAATGACATTTTTTTCAGTTGCGCAGCGTCCCACTGGCAGCTAATTGGTAAGTTTGGCGCCTACCATAAATAAAAGCAGAGGCACGGAAAAGGTGGCCTTTGGCCTTTTCAGACGCTGTGTGGGTTTCAATCTACGCATTCAAGTCAGCAGAGCAGAAAGAGGCATGAAGTAGAAGGCTAATCACAGGTTTGTGCCTTCTAACTGTGAACAATATCAGGGTAAGCATTGGCTCGTCTTGCTCTCTTTGTCATCACTCATGACTAATTTGTGCTAAGTTATGCTTTTAAATAGGAGCTGTGTGGATACATAAGTGTACTGAGAGAGAAGGCCACAAAAGTCAATCCTCTCAAGCTTTGAAGAAGGTGACAGTGTTCAAAGTCAGCCAACTAGATAAAGCATATACCAACCTCGGCTGAGGCCTGCAAATTCTTGAAAAGTTGTATATGCATATTCATAGACAATCAGAGAATAATGTGAGATGTGATACATCTTTTGTTTATTTTCTTTTTTAACATCAGTAGCATGCGCAGACAAATAATCATAGTCAAAACAGTGCACACTCTTTACTATCTTTGTACACCTTTTATTCATAATGTGGGCATGAAAGGAATGCTATCATTACTTATAATAACGGGCTAAGGATGTTTACGTGACTTTGTGTGTCTGTCTGTGTGAGAGTGTGTCTGTTACGAAATTCGTAGAGCGTGTTCCAGCCAACCTCCTGAGCTGAAATTTTGTACAACGCATGCTACCCACATGAAAGTCCAACACACAGAAGCACGAGCAGATTCGTTGGGTGGATCCCTCAGAAACTGCGCGTCAAAAGGATCCACGTTGCATTTGGTCCTCAAAATTGGGTCCGTAATTCCACTTTCTGCAGAGTCGCGGATGTTTATGCCAAGTAAATGTGCAAGCCATGAACTTAGGCTCAAAAAAGTGATCAAAAGTTCATTACTTTACAAAAACGGCGCCAAAAAGTATTGGTTGCGTAAATGGTCAATTTGCCAAGGTTTTACCAGAGCATTTGACGAGATTTTTGCACAAGGATCTAGCTCACGGTAACTGCTGTTCTTATCGTAACTGTTAAGACCATAGGAAAATCAAAAACCCATAAAAGTCTGCGTTTGTTCTCCTGCAAAATGTCTCACCCACGCGAAATCACCGATTTCACATTAAAAAGCTTTCGGAATGAGTAGTTGTTTACATTTTGTTCGTGATAGTCGGCATTGCTCGGTAAGTTTCAATGCCATCACTATGCGAGAATGAGCGGGACCTAGATAGTAGAGCCAGTGCGAGCCTCTGCGAAGCAGAGGTGACGCACTGGTTAAACATAAACACGAAAGGTAGGATAGTATCTCAATGATTGCGGCTAACACTACACTATGCTCAGATAAGGTGCAAGGTCAGTTCGATATTTTAACTTGCAAAATCTTCCAACACCTGCCCTCGACCAAGAAAGGTGTTGATCAGAAAGATGCGACTGCCTACGCTTCACACGGTTTACATCAACCCTTTGGAATACTCTTAATTGATCAGAATTAGACTCATGCCCATTAGCGTCCAGCGAACACTAAAGAGAACAGTGTAGGAAGTCATTTCAGCAATGTAAACAGAACATCATTAAGGAGCACCCGGATTAGTAGAATTAGTATTATGGGGGCTAGGATTTGTAGCAGGAAGTACCACAGTACTGTTCGTCGATCTTGACAGTTTGAGAAAACGGAAGCAAGTGCGTCGCATTCTTTTCTGAAGGGCAAATATCACTATAGGATTGATCATCGTGTTAATTGCGGTAAATATTGTTGACATTTGGAATGACGTGATGGTATAGATATATGGCGTCAGCAAAGGAAGTAGTCCACTGCTACCAAATTGACTCAAACATATAAGAATAAACTGGATTATCTAAATATATATATATATTGAGCAATTTCTATTAGGTTGGTGCAAAAATAATGAGCGTTTTTATTTGCTTGCTTTAACAAAGCAACCAGTCTCAACCCAACAAAGGGTAAGGGGTACTGTTCGATAGAGCAAAGCAAGCTCTACAAGATGGCACTCATGCCTTTGCGCCATGCTCGATCCACTGAGAGTTCGAACTCAAAATCTGAAGATTTCCAAATGACCAAAAAATCGAAAAGGGTGCGTAGCAAGTGGTACCCAGACAGCCGACTGCTGCCGCAGCCAGCCGCCAGAGCTGCCAGCAAAGCCGCTGCAGATGGTACAGTAACTACGCTCGTCGTCTAGAACTCTTGCCGAAAGCTTTTCTCGCGCCTCGTCGCTCTGAGGCGCGAAATTAGCCTCGGGAAAGCCTGATGTTCTCGATATCTATATTATTTTGAACGCCAGAAAATTCATGTTTTTTAAGAAACATGCAAATAAACAAAGGTAAACAGGGGAGAGACTTTTTAAAGGAATATGATGACAAATTCACATCACTTCAATAACTTAAAGGTAGCAGAAGCTGAAAAGTTCAGAAATTTCTCAAATTCCTAAATTTTTTCTCGCTTTTAAGTCGAAGAACGGAAGGGAACAATTACAGGAAAATGCCATGGATATAAAAGTAAGAAACTTCTGTCAAAATGATTATTTCATACATAGTGGTAAGCGCTAAATAAGGCCAATCAGGTCAATCGAGTTGAGTAGGTCAATGATAAAAGATGGAAATATGCCACATCTGCTGGCATGAAAGGGAATATTACCAAGAAGCATGTACTATTTCATTCTACACAGTTTACTTCTCCAGGTGTTGTGAGAAGAAAAAAAATCACCTCTAATAACCCTTCAAAAAGACCGCATTTCGAATTCTGAAGTGTTCATGGAAACGTGAATTTGATTTTCAAGAATTCTTCATTGGAAAATCAAGGATCCTCAAGACTACAGCGTCAACTGATATTTATTGTACAGGGTGTCCCAAAAAATGTTAACACTGTTTGATCGTTAATAACTCCCTCGCTGTCAAGTCTTTCGCCGAGCTTCAGGTACCCTTTTGTAGAGCTAGGATAAACTTAGATTTACAGTATGGAGCGAATCATCTAACGCTTTTCGTTACTGTAGAATTACGGTAGGAAATTTGACAAGGATATTAGGCCATTAAAGGCCATTTTCTACTTCGAAACAGAGCCAAACAAGCCAAAATCTCTTGTACTATGGTAAAGAAAGCCGCTGATTTCGAATATGAAATTTCCATTTTATTACAATACTTCTTTTCAAAGTTATCCTAGGCAAAGTGTAATAACGGGCTTCCCAGCATGTGTCAAAAATGTGATTACACCGTCAAAAAAGCTAAAAACACTCGTAAAAAGTTGTATAGTAAAATCAGCTTGCGCGAAAACCCTAGTACACGACTTTCCAGATTTTTTGAAAAAATTTTTGTCAGAGGGCATATGTCACGACGAATCCACATGATGGAATTTCTTACCGTAATCCTACAGTAACGAAGAGCGAACGGTGATTCGCTCCATACTGCAAATCTAAGTTGAACCTCGCTCTAGAGAACTGTGCCTCAGGCTCGCCGAAAGACGTGAAATCAAGAGAGTTATTAACGATCAAACAGTGTTAACATTTTTTGGGACACCCTGTATACTACTTCGATTTCAATATTTGTAACAGAAAAAACGTTTGAATTCCTATTTTTGGAAATTTTCCGGTGTAGTTTTGTACTCGACTGTCTGTCAATGAAATATGGCTTTTCTCTACTGTTCAAAATGATATCGATATTGTGTTTTCTTGCCGCTACATCCATGACATTTTTCTTAATTGTTCTCGCCCATTCTTCGACGTAAAAGCGAGAAGAAATCTCTAGAAGTTTGAGAATTCCTAATTTTTTCAGCTTCTGCTTCCTTTGAGTCTTTGAAGTGATTTGATTTTGCGATCACTTTCTTCTAGAAAACCCCTCCTCTGATTACCTTTGTTCATTTGCATGTTTCTCAAAAAACATGAAGTTATTGCTGTTCAAAATGATATAGATATCGAGGATATCACGCTTCCCTGAGGCTGACTTCGCACCTCAGAGCGACTAGGTGCGAGAAAACCTCGGCAAGAGTTTTAGACGACGAGCATAATTACTGTACCATCTGCAGCGACTTTGCCGGCAGCTCTGGCGGCTGGCTGCGGCAACAGTCGGCTGCCTGGGTACCACTTGCACGCCTCCCAATCGAAAAAGATCAGATCTTCGTCCAAATAATTTCTACGGACCTCCAACTCACACACGTCAATACTTCCGATATGTGATATCCATATGTGCAGTTGCTGTATTTTTTTCTTAACTAGAAAATGAGAAAACGAAGATTTTCGTGTTTTTCTAAAAGCAATGCTGAGCCGTTCTTGCATATGTGATTCTATACTACAAGCCTAGGTAAGTATAACTGTAGATTTTCAGCCCATTCCGAGCAGTAGTTTTCGAGAAATATCGAAATCAGCTTTGCTCGTTTCAGTTTCAGTGCTAAAATCGACATTTCTCGAAAAGTACCGCTCGAAAGAGGCTGAAAACCTACAGTTACGCTCACCTAGGCTTGCAGTATAGAACTACATGTGCAAAAACGGCTCAGCATTGCTTTGAGAAAATCAGGGAAATTTTCGTTTTCTCAGTTTCTAGTCAAGGAAAAAATACGGCAATCGCACATATGATATCAGGTATCGATAGTATTGATGTGAGCGAGTGGGAGGTCCGTAGAAATTATTTGGACAAAGATCTGATTTTTTTCGATTTTTTGGGCATTTGGAAATCTTTAGATTTTGAGTTCGAACTCTCCGTGGATCGAGCATGGCGCAAAGACATGAGTGCCATCTTGTAGAGCTTGCTTTGCTCTATCGAACAGTACCCCTTACCCTTTGTTGGCTTGAGACTGGTTGCTTTGTTAAAGCAAGCAAATAAAAACGCTCATTATTTTTGCACCAACCTAATACCATAAAGTTGCACTCAAATGTAGCCGTTGTCATTGCTTCATCACCCTTAGCCTTTCCTTACCAACCTAATCAAACTGAAAAAGCGGATTGCTTAAGAAAGCTTACCAATAATATGTCATCCATTTTGGTAGAACCAGCACCTCTAAGACGGGTACGAAATTCTTTCCGAATTGCAAGAATTCGAAGGAAAACTATAACATAGATACCGAAATTCACTGCAGGACAAATTATGCCCATGTAGCTCAAAATAGGACGATAATTACCACTGCACTTACTGAACAGCACTTGTTGAGTTGCAAATAAAAGCAAAATGGCCCGTATAACCCAATTAAAAAGCTTGCAAAGAAATGTGGCGCTTTTATCATGTTGATGCAAAATCAATACATGTTCCTCAACTTTGAGCTGCAAATACGATATAAAAGCGTATGAACAACAAAGCAAACCAAGCTCTACAAGACAGAATATAAACAATTGCAAAAGTACGTGAAGCTTGGGGAGAAATTCTAGAAATTTATAGATATCCAAGCTTGAGATTTTTGTCTAAAAAGATACTGCAAACTTCCAACTTGGTGCGCATACTCTGCACCTCAAACATTCATATGCGCACTTGCCGTATTTTTTCGTGGCTAAAATTGAAAGTCAAAAGAGCTAGGAAATTCGAAAAAGTCGCCTTTTTCGAATTTTTCGGGCTTTTTTCGTAAGTTTTCTTGAAAAAAACGCTTTAAGGGAAAGAAATTTGTTGCTATAATTCTCAGCTTTCCACACTCAAACATTGTAAGCACCATCTTTAACGCTTGCTTTGCTCTATCGAACGATATGTTTTATACATTTCTATGATTTCCCTGCCGATTCAGCGTAAGGAACAAGCATTAATTTTGCAACAGCCTAATACTTTGTTAGTATGAGTCTCATGCTAGATCAATGGAATCAAGCGCTTTCCATTTCTAGACTGTGACGATCATTTGTAAAATGTTTGGTAGTCACCTGTCTAATCTTACCTGCAAGAGTGCGTAAAAGCAAGAGCATAGGGATCCGTTCTTTTGTAGCATCCAAGAGTAAACATATGAATTATAGCAGCAACTGATATGGCTACAGGAAGTGCAGCCAAGCACGACAGAATGTTTTTTCTGCTGTTCAAACATCCATGTACCTAGAAATCTTTTCAGTTGGGTTGGTTACAGATGACGGAGGAGAATATGAATATTCTGTATAAGAGAAAAACCGAATTAAAGGATTATAAGTTCCAAGTTCTCTCTTCTCTGAACCTGGGCATTCTGATGTAGTAGTTTTATGAGTCAGTATGCCGAACCCAGGGTAGTACGGTGGTATCTTTTATTCGACCTTACGTTTCGACACAGTCGTCGTCTTCGGAGGTCTGAAGTAGATTGCGGTTGAATCTTTGAAACAAGACCGCCAAACGCCATTGCCAAACATCAGTGAGCCTAGACTTCGTCCCGCGCGCAACGTACTGAGGCACACGCCGATGAAGAAACTGACCTTTGATCCACCGCGGTGTTAGTGAGAAGTCAGTTGCCGCACAAATGACACGGACGACACTGAGAGCTGCTCAGTGGATCATTCTTTATATATGTGCAGGCTGTAACTCACATATCGACAGATATGGCAAGAGTTCGGTCGCTATTGATAAGCATTCATTTCTGTCATTCATGCTTGGATTTCTGACGGAAATCCATGCTGCTTCGTAGTTTGCCCGTACGGTAAGATAGGCGATTGCGCGAAAATAGGGGTTGTGTACCAACTGGAGTGTCTGAGCTGTGGGGCCTTATATATTGGAGAAACGGGTAGAATGTTGCGGGTAAGAATTAAGGAGCACTTATCGAATAAAAGGCGAGCTAATGCATTATCACCGTTGGGAAAACATAAAATAGAAGCACACGATGGCGGTGAATTTGATGTGAAATGCACAATCCTGTCATACGAGGCAGAAATTGTAGGACGAAAAAGTATGGAAGCAGCATGGATTTCCGTCAGAAATCCAAGCATGAATGACAGAAATGAATGCTTATCAATAGCGACCGAACTCTTGCCATATCTGTCGATGTGTGAGTTACAGCCTGCACATATATAAAGAATGATCCACTGAGCAGCTCTCAGTGTCGTCCGTGTCATTTGTGCGGCAACTGACTTCTCACTAACACCGCGGTGGATCAAAGGTCAGTTTCTTCATTGGCGTGTGCCTCAGTACGTTGCGCGCGGGACGAAGTCTAGGCTCACTGATGTTTGGCAATGGCGTTTGGCGGTCTTGTTTCAAAGATTCGACTGCAATCTACTTCAGACCTCCGAAGACGACGACTGTGTCGAAACGTAAGGTCGAATAAAAGATACCACCGTACTAACCTGGGTTCGGCATACTGACTCATAAAGGATTATATTTTAGTTATAATAACGGGAATTCTTATTGAACAGCAATGAGGAAGGTTTCTCATTGAACTTATAGAAGGCAGTTGGCATAAACTCGTCTGATTTTTCACTTACCTTGGCCTATCCGCCACTCCGAATTCGAAAGTTTTTCTCGTAGAGTGCGAAAATCGAGAACAATTCTTTTCAAGGTTTACGTTTTCAGTTTGTAAAGAGTGAAACAATTTCCGCCAAAGCTAAGACGCAGAATCGCTGTGCAGAGCAGAGATCAACGATTAGAGAAACGATTATCTCAATGAGGCGCCGCCTCCACGGACCACTGGTCCTCACATGATACACAATAGAAGAGGGGAAGGAAGCAGTTCACGAAGGCGCCGCCTTATTGAAGTACTCGTTCCTCTTTCAAAATCCACAGGTGGGTGCTCCCTCTAAGACGTAACTCTTCCAACTTTTCAAGCGAATTTCTCGTTCCTGGGTTCAACTTATGACTTTGCAGTTCGATGGCTCATTGATACGGGATTGAAATCCCACGAACTTTAACACCTTGCTCGACACTGCCTTTGCAAATGATCTTGCAATATGACGCGTAATACTGCTAAGACTCTATGAAAGCAGGTCCCCAAATGTTTGAGTAGTTCAAATTTTGGCGAAAACAGCTTTTGAGCAAAAAAGTTTGAGGGCTATTTTCATTGCTCGCTAAAGCGCTATCGCGCAAACGAGGAATCAAAGGAAACCGAACCTGTGGTAAAATGAAGAAGAGCAGTCGATCTAGAGCAATTATTGTTGTTGTCAACATGAAGATGAGGAACGACAATGCATCAGCGACGGAAATAATCAGATTTTCTGGATCCCTCAATTCAACTCGAAAGAATATAGATGGTATGAGTGAGAGCAATAAAGGTATTACACCGACAAGTCCTGCTAGAGTTGCACTGAGAAGATATAGACGTAATGACTTGTTAAATGTATCATTTCGAAGCACGACAATCGTAAGATTCACGTTCATAAAGATAGAAACAATAGACAAAATCGTTAGTATTATCCCATATGTGATACGCCATGGGGTCATCCTCTCTTCGAAGGGTTCACGTAATTGACGCAGACAACGCAGAGCAGCGTCTGACATATCTGCAATGTTGAATCTGAAGCCGGTGATTGCGAAGAGAGAGAACGGTGATAGGAGGATGAATGCAAAAATATTGAGAAAAGCAACTGCGAGCAAACCAGCAAGTGCAGAAACGAAGGCGAGGACATTGGCATGTCAGTGTTAACTATGCAAAGATATATCCTCAAACTCGCAACTGCACTATGCCATAAATCTATGTGCCTTGCTACGAGGCAATAACCATAACATTCAATTGATAGGTCATCGTGCAATGATTTTAATTCGAGCGTGACTTTCGTATCTCAAGGCACGTTGTGCTTTCGCGCGTTTTCCGGTCACCCCATTAACCTTGGGGCCCCAACCGACTGCACGACGTTACCTTCCTAGAAAACTGCCCTCGAATGAGCGCTCACCCCAACCGATGCACTCGGATGATTTCGTTCACGTTCGCGCCCTACGCGAATTTTTAATTAATTAATTCTTCTAATTAATTTTGTATTAATGTATGTAATATTAAATTTATATTAATGTATGTATTATTAATGTATTATTTATTATTTTGTATTATTATTTTGTATTATGTATTTTGTATGAATGTATTTTGTATCTTAAATAATTAATTCTCCTAATTAATTTTGTTAAATAATGGCATTTGAATTTAATTTTGTTAAATAATGGCATTCAGTGCAAGTATTACATACGGACTTTTCAAGTAAACTCTCGTCCAAGCTTCCTTTTCAGAAAATGTGTAAACGCCTCGATAACGGTCATTTCACCCGATTTGAGGCTCAGTTCGAGTTCTACATGAGAAGGCCCAAAATGTGCGGAAAAGTCGAAATGAAAAACCTGCCAAGACACTGCCCTGCTTTTAACACATTGACGACAATGTGACCCGCATGGTGGGTCATGCAATGACTGCCACGTGGGACAATGTGACCCACATGGTGGGTCATGGGTTAATTTTGTTAGATAATTATTATTTTAGAATACATTTGTTTCAGAGGTTCTTCTCCGCTCTAATAGTAGAAATAGCTTTCACGTTTATTGGCAGCTTTTATTAGAATTACTGTAATACTGTGAATGACGATCTGCGTACTTTAGTCAAAACTTTTCAGCTTATTCGTGGAATGCATTGTCCCACGCGGCAGACAATTGAAAATGAGCGTTGTCATCAATGTGTTAAGCAAAAAGAAGGTCATTTTAGTAATAAAGGGGATTTTATGGAACACTTCGACCTTCAACTCTCGAAATAGGACTTTCGGGTAGAGCATTTATTGGCGCACTTGGAAATCATGAATTTACTTCGTATCCAAAGCGCTTCCTAAGAGGCTCGAGAAAATGGTAGGATGATGGACACGTACTATGCTTCTAACCAAAGTAATCCAACCTTTTAACCAATCCATCAAGAAATGCATTAGAACCGACATACACATAAAAACAGCAAAGAAAAATTCTTCAAAGGCAATTACGCTAAACTATGTGGATTTTCAAAGCAATGTCGTTTAGCAAAAACGCTAAGGAAAGCTCGTTAGTAGATCTGAAAAAACTAATAGCGACGATTTATGTTTGCTGCGCTAAATGCATATGCTCCAATTGTGAGGCATAAATAGTGGTGATAATGGTGTAATCAGTCTGTCCTACAGGGGCAGTGCGTAAAAGCGTGATCTTCTGTGTTTTGTACAATCATGGAGTTTTAAACGATAGAGTTGTTAAAAGAAAAAGCGAACAATACAAAATTACAGATTTCGATTGATTTTAAGAGTCATATGACTGTTGTAATTTGACATAGTTAAAGCATGAAATATTTTATATTGAGTTATGTCTAACAAGCAAAGGATACTCGGTGACCGTAACCGTTTGCAATGCGATACACACTTTAAGATGCATCTCGAAGCGCTGATTCCAAATCTGTGCTCGATATCTGCGAAACGATCTTCTGAAGGAAGTTGTGAACTTTTTTTTAAAAAAAACTGCGTAATTGGGTAGTTAAAATCACCAAATTTGATCTAGGTTACCGTCTGAAGCTACTGAAGAGAATTGTAAATGGAATATTGTTGTATCATATCTATGTCAATCATATTCAGCACTTGAATAAGAAAGAAAATAAATGATGATTCTGACCCTCAGTAGTAGCGTAATTTATTTATGGAAAAATAATCATAACCCCATTCAGGTTATCGTTTCGCAGATAAGGAAAACATATTCGAACCAGCATTGAAAGGCGCATTTTTTGATATACAAATCATCACGAATGGCCACGGTCACCAGGCGTCCTTCCCTTATAAGATCGAGTTCGTTAGTTCGTTCGCAACTTCTATTCAATTTTTCTCAACAATTAGTGAGGAGTGTATGCTTTAGATAGCTTTTCTGCTCTAAAAAAATACTTGCATCAATTTTCAAAACCGCGCAAAATCGAGAGATGTCAAGCAAAAGAACAAAAAAATTCATTTCGCCAACTTTATTGCCTTTCAGATAATTCAAAATATTGAGAAAACAGCTAGGACTGTGGCGTGGAAGAAATGTATCTCCCGCACAACCTCACTGCTAAGATCTTGCGCTCAATGCTAAGAAGCCCCGAAAATTTATCGTCTGAAGGGAATGCTGAGAGAAAATGGTTGACGAAGAATCACAAATTGACTGAAAGGATGGCCTGTGGTCACAACATCGATAGAATTATGAGTTCATTGATTTTTGTAAAGAATTTAAAAGTTTGCGTTGCGACTGCTTTTGCTTCGCTAAGTCAAAAAACTTTTTCAGATAACATCGGTGAAAGGAAGGGAAAAGCATAAACAGTGAGAGTGACTTGCAGTAATGGTGAGCCTGTTAAATGGTCAGATTTGTTGAGTACATCTTACCTTGAAAAATGAAAATATACAGAGAAAAAGGATGGGTTGAAGTTATTGTTCAGATTTTTCGCTTTGGAGTTGAAAACCATCTCAAGTTTACCGTTAACCTGAAGAAATGATGCATAACGTAATTGTAGAACAGACTTGGTGCTTTCAAATTATGTACATTTTGCCAAACGCAGGTGAGGTGAAACTCAAATAAAGATTATCAACATCAATACAAAGTGTTCTAAAAGTGTGTATGCATTGTTTACACTGGCCCGTAGTAACCCCCCCCCCCGTCATGGCGTCTCCCTTGGGGCTGACCTGAATTAATCGAAGGCGCCTCAATCCAGCATCCAGAGGGCTGTTGTTCTGGATGTTGACCGTTTTATAGAAATGACAAAAACGCGCGTTCTCAAAAAAGAAACAAGCAACACTGCTTGTTCGGACATAAATGGATAACTGATTGCGAGGCAGGCAGTGGCTCGAGATCGGCTAGCGGGATTATTTTTTGCGACATCGGCACGTAATCATTGATAGCGGCCAGTGACAAATAAATTTATGATGATCGCAATCAAAAAGTTCACCTAACAAATGAGTAAACAAAACACATGATTTTTTAGCATGGATTCTCATGAAAAACCGTAATATCTGAACAGAAAGACAATGAAATAAACAAAAATCTCAGTCAAAGCTGTTTATTTAAGGAAAATTAGGCAAAGCATGCAAAAAAAACTAGTCTTCCACCATATCTACATACAATCAGCTGTTCATCGACTCTTTTAGTCCGTAAGCCTTCGAAAACGTGCAGTTTCATGCACTTTGACCCGCAATAATATTTCACATTACGTATTCCGCAACTTACTTACGAGCAGCTTACGGGATTTTCTGCGCCTTATCCTTTGCACATTATTTTCTTAAGATTATCTCGAAATCGACGCTGCCCTTTTAGAAGTCAGATGAGATCATCGCGGCACATGTACAGACGCTCACCGTCAGGTCAGGTCGCATTTATATAGCAGCGGAAGTAGTCGCTGATCAGTCCATCTATGAAACCTTATCTGAAGCCGTCATTTCAGACCATATGATCTGACCGAGCTTACTACGGCCCACTATCTTTTTTGCATTGATGTCTGCTGTCAATTTTGAACTATATATCATTTTGTAGAGCTGGCTTCAATCATATTTACAGTATTTAACAAAACACCAATTGCTCTTCATTACTGAAGGATTACGTTAAGGAACTCTACTATCATACAAAGCTGCAATTTTGAAGAGCGTTCAAACTTTTTTGGTGAAGCTAAAAAAAACGATGTTCTAACAAATGTCTTTGGGCCTAAGGCATACTTCGCTCGATTCCGCAAAATCGGTACAGCGCAACTTGGCGATCTACCAGATGTCTAGAAATTTATCACGTTGACAGTGTCGCACGATGGTGCGCGGCAGGCAATCTGTCCCTGTAAACGACGCCGCGCAATGGAGCGCGGCACCCTTAATTTTGATTCTATGTGCCCAATCCTTTTGATTTTTGTCCATATAATCAACTTAGGCTCGGATGTTTTTATGTTATGTTGGTCCCGCACCTCCTTAGCCATTCTCCGCTCACTCCATTTGCATTCCGCAAGGAACTTTCTTGTGCTTAAAGTGTATAGAAGTGGTCAGAAATGACTCTCATAAACTCAGGCAGTTTTAGTCTTAGCCCCGCCCGTCAGGCAGGCTCCGCTTTCTCAGTGACAGGCTCCGCCCACTTTTCAAAAATACCGAAATTTGCACGAAGCAATTTCCAGCGTTTTTGGGGAGTGCGCGCAGGGGGGCGGAGCTACCCGCCCACTTGTGTACCTAATATATAGAGAATCGTTAGTCTACTTTAAAAATCTTTCAATAGCGGGAAACCGCGGTGCGGTCTCGGAGCGTGCGGATGCAATGCACCTTTAATTACTCGTTCACTAACTCATATTTTGCGAATAGATGCATGCATATATACATACAGCCAAGCGTAAAAGTCACGGAAACATTTCATACACAGGGACAGACTTGAAAAAATGGCTCATCGTCAATATGATATCGTGCACGGCTCTTAAGTGCATAGGCGCCTAGCTTTTGTAAGTTGTCGCTTCACGAGTCATGAAGAGTCGCTGCAGTGCCAAGCTGAGCAGCGATTGAAATCGCGTGAGGTTTGCCTCAGATCTTACA